TGAAGGGCACTGCTGCAACTGTGTTTTTCCATCCTCAGCAGCTAAGGTTTTGTTTTGTCTTCCTTCCTCACCAGATAGCTCCCAAGTCCCACAGAACACGTTTGTGTGCAACTACACACGAACACTGAGACACACACGCTCCCAACCTCAATATCATCTCCCCCGAGAAAGAAAGTGCCGAATGGAAATGATTCAAACACAAGAGCCTTGTTAGCGCTAGACACGACTGTAACTCTACCCAGAAGCACATCTGACAAAATAGAATTTGTTCTCCCAGAGAAGGGTGGCTTTTTCTTCCCCTCACCCCCACCCCATACTATATCATTTGTCAAGTAACATTGTCATTTTTCCCACTGCTGCATAATCATATAATGAAAGCCCCAGAAGTAATTCATGTACACAAGAGGGCAGACTTACGGCTGATAAGGACCCCTTTCTTTATTTGCATTGCTAATACCTTCTTTTATTTTTAACAGGACAGAAGCAAAATGCTGTATGTCGAAGGCAAATGGACCAATAGGAAATTTCGTTTTCCTCTGGCTCCAATAGCAGTGTAGGATAATCAGCTAGTATTCCTGGGTCTCAGCCAACAGCCAGGCTTGCCACCATTTGAATAGAGAGAAACTCAGCAGGGAAACCTATTAAATGGTGTCCCTTCTAACGCCCAGGATCCCACTGCCAGCACCTCCCACCTGCCAGCCACTCTAATGCCTCCGCTCCCCACACAAGGGACACAGTTTCGGGTTTCCAGGATGCTCTTTCTGCCCAGGACCCTCTTCTTTCGCTTCCCGTGATAAACCCACACCCCCGCAAACCTGTACGACACACTGATACCCCAAACCGGAAAACCTCAGTTGCTATAGAGTCAGTTCCTAACTGGATCTTTCCCGCCAGGGGGTCACGGTAGACTGCCTGCTGCTCCTAAAAGGTGACAAACAAAATGCTTAGCGTCAGCACAATGCAAGGCACCTGCCACCCAGCAGGCATTCAAAGGAGAGGTGTCTTTTAAAATACACTTCTGCCAAGTATCCTATAAAATACTTTACTACCCTCCACCCCTCAAAAACCTCAGCTCATAATCATTAAGTCCATTCTGACTCTACAGAACAGAATCAAAGTGTCCCTGAGGGTGTCCGGGAGCGTGACTCTTGATGAGAGCAGAAAGCTTCATCCTCCACGCAAGTGGTTTTGAACTGTTAACCTTGTAGCCAACAAAGTAACCCAATGCGCCACCAGGGCTCTGGCCTCCACCTACTGACACTGGCTCTCCAAATGCCCATGAGCAAGAGAGACGCTGAGGCCCCCGCACCTCTGGGTGACACACACTCCTGATGAGAGCAGCTCACCTGGGAAGCAGCTGTGTTACCCAAAGCGGCTTCAATGGCAGGGTGCTTGGAGCCATCAGTCACCCTGGGCCACACGGCGCGTGTCCTCTCCTGTCTGGCTGCGGTCTTTTTCACAGAGGCCCTGGGTGCTATGATCATTTAACACACTCATCTGCCAGTAAATAGCGTGGTGGCTTAAGTCCACCCTGGTGGCACCATGGATGACGTGTTGCGGTATAAATTGTACGGTCAGCAGTTCAAAACCACTAGCTATTCCGCGAGAGAAAGACAAGGCTCCCTACTCCCGTCACAGGCACGGACACCCATAGAGGCAGTTCTGGTCTATCATAAGGTTGTTAGGAGAATCAATTCAATAACAGAGAGTCCGGGGTTCTTTTGCTTTTGTTTGGGGGAGAGGCCCTATGAAAGCAAGCCCTAGCAATTGATTTCTGAAAAATCAGCCATTGGGAGGAGCCTGGTGGAGCACAGTCCACATCTGAGCGCGCGGGCTCCCACAAGTCCACCAACAGCAAACGGTCCTAAGGCAGGCCAGCATCCAGCATCTGGCTTCCATGACCTATTGGGTCTCTCCCACCTGCCTCCCCTCACAACCACCCCATAGGACCATGGTGCCTATCTTCTCCCAACAGTTTCCATTGTGCTCAGTCACAAATGTAATTGCCTTTACCTGCTCTACCCTCTACTCCTAGGCTGTACTGACCGATGAGAATCAACCTATGAAGCCTTCGTAGCAGAAATAAAGCTTGAAGCTGGCCGTTTTCCCTTAAGCTATAACAATAGCTCCCCCTAACCATGCAGCTCTCTACAACTCTGTGCAAAGGCTCCCAAGTGCGGACAGCCAGACCCCCAGGATACAGGGGCATGCGTCCCCTCCTGCCGTTCTCCGGTTCCAGGCCACGCACCTAATTCTACTGAAACGGTGACATGTGTGCCCCTGCTCCTGATAGTGTTCTGAGGTGCCCAACTTCTCCGGGCTCCACCGGCTCCCCTCTGGAGCCAGCTTTGATTAGCTTCGCCCCTGCAGACAAGAGTGGGGCTGTGGGGTTTTGTTCTTCCAGGAATTCAAATGATACCTCAGTTCAGCTGAAAGAATCCTAGCACTCAAGACTGACTAAGCGCTTGCACCTCGCATGTTTCGCATAGCCCCACTGTCTCTGGTAATGCTCACACTGCGCGCACACAAGGAGTGTGCCTGTGTAAAGAGATGGCCAGGGAGTATCAGGAGTTTGATGATGGGTCAAGACTAGAGAGGTCCAGAAGTGGTGGGATCCTAACTGAAAGGGTATTTCAGGCCAAAAAGTCAAAAGGGGGAAGTATTCCTGACAGCCACATGGGGATTGAAAGTTCACCTGTTTAATGTCCCCAAAGCAGGTATCGCAGAAAGCCCAGCCTCCCCAACAATGACTGCCCCCGTCAGCCTTGAGTCACCAATACCTCCAGTAGGAAGTGAGCAAACCCATCACTTCAGAAGGCGGTAGGAATCCACTCCCAGGTGCAAGCACATACTGGTCCCCAACAAGCTAGGTTCCCAGGCCTGAAGATAGCACCTGCTTGATAACGGGAGTCCTCGTGTTTTCTTCATTGATGGTGGAACAGAAAACTAGTCCTCCTAGTGTCCTGGCCACTGTAGGAGGCAGAGAAACAAGACAACCTGCCTTGTAGCTCCCCCACCCCCCATCCCACATCAACTTGACAGCCCGCAATGCACAGAAACCCTCACATTAGTGGCTACCGCCTGGCTCCTCCGCTCCCAGATACGATCTACTCTTTTTTAAAAAAAAAAAAAACAACCTCTCTTCTACTCTCTCTCACCACTCCTGAAAATCCACTCAGATCACAATCTTGATAACCTTTGCCTCCCTGTTCAAGTGAGTTTTCTCGCTGGTCTCGAATTAACAGGGAGCCAGGCATGATAAATGTGTTCTCTACAAGCCATTTTCGGGAAGTGTAAGCATTCTTGAAATAGAAAGGTGTGCAAAGATAAATGCAAAACCGGTAGAGCCAGGTTCCTCTCCCCCCACCCCCCGGTGAGGGCCTGGCCTGCCTTGGAGTGACTGATGTCACATGCTCCTGAGAGGTGTGAAGGGAAGTCACCAGCTGGTCCTGCCTAATGTCCAACACTCCCTATCTTAAACCTCTCAGAGCTGACCCCAGAGGTGCGAGGGCAGGTGAGAGTGAAAATGCTCCTGAAGTGACAGGATCCAGGGAGGGAATAAGCTCTTCGGGTGAAGTGACATGAACACCACCACCACCCACCCCCAGGTCCCATGAAGATAGCAGGAGCATGAAATCTCTTGGGGGTGGGCGTGGGGAGGGGGGGGGTGCTTACATAAGACACAAACACTGTAAAACTTCCTGCAACCTTCACGGGCTAAGCTGCTCTGCTCCCTTGGGAGATAATTTTCATGGAGTAGGTGACAAAGTTCACGGGGGGTGGGGGTGGGGTGAGGTGGGGGAACAACATTCAGCAGAAATCCCTGCTTTGGGGGGGCGCGGCGCATCAGCTCAGGTACACAGCAGGGAGAGTCTCTATCGCTGCCGCTGCCACTGTCATTAAACAGGGTCACCCAGAGGATGGAGTCAGTGTGCGGAAGACAATCTGTTCCCTCCGAGGTGACCCATTTAAAACCGGAGTGTTCCGGGGGAAGCTTGCGAGTTTAATACATTTCCAACAGGTGAGGGCATGCTTGTAGAACCGGCGCTCCCTTTAGAGGAAAATGTAAAAGATGGTCATCAGGCAAGCAGCCAAAGAACTCCGGGGGCACTCAAACTTCGGAGTTGGTCACTCCACCCTCCAGAAGCAGTGATATTTACTAAACTGTCAGGCTCTCTGTCCATTGAGCGCTCGCTCCTCACGAGCAGCTTTGTCTACTAGGGCTGGGGTGCTGGTTGGACATCTCTTTCCCCTGCCTGCTCCCCCTCTCAATTCCGTGCCACTCACTCTATCCCATCAGAGGGTCTCAAAGGTTGTACCTGCTCAGCTCAACACCGGCCTCGGCTCCCTGAAACAAGGCGCAAAGAAAACTTCTTCACCAACATCACTCCAGGAAAAGCGAGCCGGGCTGACCAAAAAGTCTGCTATGAGCACAACCGGTGCCCCAAAGCACAGGTGCTGGCGGATGGGAAATAGCTAGGGGTGCAGAAGCGTCGTCTCCCGAAGTTAAAGGGGAACTTCAGGCTCGCACTCCGTATATGGCGCGTCCTAGAGAGATGAGAGACTGGAGGCATCTATCTCAGGCCTTTTTGGGCAGCTCCAGGGCCAGGCAAAAGAGACCGGACCTACCCTGCCTCTCTCCCTCTCCACCAACATCCCGAGTTCAGGAGGGCCAGCCACAGGTTCAGAGAACTTGTCAGGCACCGCTTGCTAGGACGCCCCCCATCCCGTCCCCAGCCTCAGCTCTGGAGCACACCTGGGCTCTTACCTTGACCGTGGCTGCCGCCAGGCAGGAGGAGACGCGGAAGAGCTGGGTGGCGTGGCAGCAGGGCCACCTAAGAGGAGGCAGGGGGTCTAGGTCGGGGTCCTGGCAGGTGCTGTCCTAGTTCGATTCTTAATGTCCAGCGCAGACTTCGGGGCGGCTGTCCCGCCCAGCTCCAGATGCCCCAGGCAGGGTCTGGGCGCCCCACCACACCTTCCTTTCCCTTCTTCCTCTGACTCCGGAGCCGCCGGCGCCGCCTGGAGCTGCTCTCTGCTCCCGGAACTCTCCCGAAACGGGGCAC